GATGTTGGGTGGTGGTGGTGGTGGTGGGGGGGGGTGTACGGGGTGGCAGGCAGGAGGACCGCAGGAAGACCGCCATTGAGCCCATGCAAGCAGACATTGAGCATTAACAGATTGAGAATAACGTTAAGTTGGGTAGGTACTTTCCAGCAGCATGTCTCAGCTGGTTGCGGCCATGGGGGCATGCGCAGTGGGGCACGAGCTTCCTGAGCGCAGTGAGGTCCGTCAGGCACCTGCTGCATGCACTATGCACTAGCATAGGCCAAGTCACACACACCCCCAACCAACCCACCAACCCATTAACCTTGAGCAAGCTGCTTCCCCCGCTAACAAGTCACTGGGCTGCCACCTGCTTGGTCCCTGCGCTCGCCTAAGGCACCCACCCAGTAGCCTTTTCAATGGAGACAACAACACTAACATTGGATTAAACCCCCGGCTCTGGGGGGCTGGCTGGGTGCTGTCCGGCGCTATCTTAGGTGCAGGACCAGAGGAGTAGACTGGGCGGTGGCTCAGCGTCACCCATCTTATTGGCCTGCAGCCCGAACAGCATAAGGCTGACTGCAGGCTGTTTTCGGCCGCCTTTTACACTTCAAACCCCGACTTAACTGCTGACATCTGATATGTGGTCGGTTCCCTCATCGGCAACTCTACACACCGTAACTCTGAATAGCATCATATCCACAGCTCCAAACAATTGACCGTGTTTTAGAAATAGGCGAGCGCGCTACACACTCAGTCGCCCGCCGCTCGATGCGCTGGACCTGGACGGCCTCCGTCTAACATGAACTGCCACAGCAACGATGACTGTCCTGAACTCGTGACCTGGTGCACATCTCACCCCGTGTCCGCACAGCACATCTAGTAGCAGGGCTTTGAACGAGTATGACTACAATGCGGGGAGACAACCGCACCGGCCCTACAGGGCCCAGAGTCGTAGCCTGTTCCTGCGTCCAGCGTTCGGCCAGGTGGTCCGACAAGCCATGGCCTACCGTGGCGTCGGCTAGCTGGAGGCTCTGCTCGATGTGCGCACCATAAGAGACCCATTCAGGTCCCAAACGGGACTCGCATGGCCCTTCTAGAAGTCATCGCGGCTCAACGAACGGGCGGGGCAACGATCTCATGGGTCCAGGGGAGGCAGAAATGAGCTTTCCAATTCTCCGCTTGACATTGTGAAGTAGCTAGCTAGGTGGAATAGATGGCTCACTATGAGTTTTGGAACCGTGATGTCTAGACTGCACTGCAGACAAACTCATGTCCATATCGCATGAACTCATACCATGTGAATGGATAGAACCGTGACGTGACACAAACCCGGGGACACGGGCCAGCTGGGTCATCCCCCCGCTCCCTCCAACGGGCGGCTGGGCGACCGGGTCCGCCTGCCGAACAAGTGCTCCACTCTTCTTCCCAGGCACCCGGACCCCGCCACACCGCCCGTACTCCGCCACATCCCCCTGAGGCCGGCGGGTGACAGTCTACCCCCCAAATCCAGAGGTCTGGTTAGGGATGTGCCAAGGACGAACATTTGATGAATGCCTATCAATTGCGCCCCGGGGTGAGCCTCCGTATCAGACCTGCCATCGCTTTTGGGAACGGTGTCGTATTTCAGGGGGTTTTTCCCACGATAGCTTCCTCACCTTCCGCAAGGGGCATATTGACCAGGCTGGGCTTTGGAATATTGACGCCCCTGAAATCGCCTGGTATAGGGAAATATTATACTTCGGTCGACCGTGAGGCAGCAACTCGTACATGACACCATATTCTTGAGCTTTGATCAAATTTCCGGGTCATCGCCTAGGGTCAACAGAATCAGACACATTGAGTTCACTGATCATATTCATGTCTAAAGTTTACTTTTGTCTAATATAACTCCGCGAACCTCAAAAGCCATGGCGCTAAACTCGACATGGGATATCATAACCTACGGCTCCCCAAAAATGCATACACCTACAGAAGCTGCCGATTATGAATGACTAGTCAGTTCAATAAAAAGCTTTCCTGTACTTGGCAGACAGACTGATCCAGCAGATCTAATCCTCAAACTTGATGCCGTTACGAGCATTAGCATCGATAAGACCTCCGCGGTAACTGCCACGCTTCTTCTTGTTCTTCTCCTTCGTGAAGCCCTTGCCTTTTGTCACAATAAGGTCCTCGTGCGCCTTGCGACCCCAGTCGTGGGCATTGAAGGCATTCGACTGCAGTCTCGGGTCGACCTGGACATTCTTTGGGATTCGCGAGAACGGCTCGTTCACTTTCTTAGGCTCTGCTGCCCCGTTCTTGCCTCGGTTGTTGAGCTTCATCGGATCGGGAGGCAATGGTGCGAATGTAGAGACTGGGAAGAACTCAGGTGACGTTTTGCCCATTGTAGCAGATGTGTCCGAGCCGTTCTTCACGGGAGACGCCTGCTTAGGCTCCTTCTTGACCTCGGGCTCGGAGTCAGAATCGGAAGAGTCAGAATCAGACGAGCTGTCCGAGGAAGAGTCAGAATCTGGGAGCGGGACCTTGGCGGCCTTCTCGTCTTCCGACTCAGAGTCCGATTCATCTGAAGAAGAATCAGAGCTAGAGTCGGAGCTTGAGCTCGATGACGAACCGTCGACGACAGCGGTCAGGCCGGCACGGGGCTCCGGGATTTTCTTCGGTACCGCCTCGTCCTCAGAATCGGAATCGGAATCAGAGTCCGATGACGAGTCGGAGGAGCTAGAGTCTGACGAAGAGGATGAGCTCTGTTGAACCTTTTGTTTCTTGCTTTGCGGCTTCTCATCGTCCGAGCTTGAGGAGTCAGAGCTGTCCGACTCAGAGTCCGAGGAGGAGGAGGATGACGATGACGAGCTGTCAGAAGCTTTGCGCTTCAATGGTCCAGACTTGGCAGGCACCACTTTCTTCGCAACCTCAACTTCACTGTCGCTGTCGCTGCTGCTCGAGCTATCCGAGCTAGAGCTGTCATCATTTTCCGCGACATCCTTCATCTCGACATCACCGCCCTCCTCCTCGCTGTCAGATGAGCTACTGGATGTATCATCACTGCTGCTGCTCGAGCTGATTTTGGTGACGGCCTTCACTGCCTCCTGTGAGACCGAACCTCCATTGCTTGTGTTCCAGGACTCGAAGACGCTGACAAGTGTTGGGGTTGACACGCGGGAGGCTTCGCCAGAGAGCGGCCAGCCATTCTGCGTCCTCTGCTCTTTGAATGCGCGGTGAGCGCCCGCGAACGAGTGGTCGGAGAGGAAAGATTCGACAAGGTCGAGCAATTGGGCTGGAGGAGCGGATGGAGTAGAGCTGCTGCTCTTCTGCACCTTCGACTTCTTGACAGACTTGCCAGAGCTGGCTTCCTTCTTGACTTTGGCCATGGCGGCGGTGGCGGTCACTGATGGGCTGTTTTTCCGCAGAGAGGAATTGTTGTTATTGCTAAAAAGCCAGGCGGGAGGACCAGAGCTCGACTTGGACATGGGATTTTCACAAACGCATCAGAGAAAATGGAATCGAGATGTTGTGAGAAACTTTCATATAAAGCTGCGAGGATGTCCTCAAATCGGGGAAGGTTGAACTTGAAGCCAAAAAAAAAAAATTCTGTAACAATCAGGAAAGCACCAACTGGGGAAATTTTTTGGTTCCTGCCCCTCTATTTCCACGCGACATCGTGGTGCAGATATTGAGATACCTGAAGATAAGTTTGTGGCTGCGAATATCACATGAACACTAGCCGGATACAAAGTATTCACTAACAGATTAGATAGTGTAGATAAGCCCTGGAGCTTGGTCTTATCACACCTGGCTAGGGCGCTTGTAGGCCTCTAGGGCCTCTATGATTTCTAGCTCAATTATCAGTGACCACTCTGCTTGAAGACAATTGAACATGGTCTAAGATAGCTCTCCTCGTGTCTAAAGACAAAGCCACCTCAATCAGAGGTTAGGAAATTCAGTCTCTCAGTCTCAATGCTTCCTCTTGCACTTCTAAAGGAGAAATCCTCAAAGGGTTTGACTATCCATTCACCCGGCAGAGGACTTGCCGCTCGAAAGTCTCTAATAGCTGCTGCCTTCAGTGGAAACGTCCAAACAGCTCCATCATGGCGTCAAAGTAATCCTTCAGGTTGCGCATGCACTTTGTCACAAGGAAGACAGCGACTTTCTTGAGCATCAGTGGACCTACTTCTACTATGGCCTTGGTCATTTCCTTCGTATCGAGCCGTCTTTTCAAAGCAACGTCCCCTCACCGTGTGTATATCTGCGGATGCAGTCTCGTCCATGGAATACCTTCAACGGTCAGGTGGTCATTGCTGCTTCTAGCGATTGAAGTGGAAATATGGCACTAGCTCCTCAGTTTATTCAGTTGCCTAGCGCTTGGCGTGGAGTTGTGGGCATCTCGGCCGTTATATCCCTAGATCAGTCAGCGACCGGCTGTTCAGAGTGGAACAATCACAATGGTCCGTGGAGATTGAAAGTGAGATTTGTTTGGAGTTGTGGCAATCGAGTCTGAATAGCTGACGCGTCTCCTTATACTCAATGTTGAATTACTTGTGTGAGCTGCTATGCGAGGAGGTAGGATGTGGCTTGTTGGTAGCAGCCTTGCTGTGCCGTGAAGGAGTGAGCATTGCCACTTTGGGATGAAGTTCGAGACCTAAACCCTTGCAAGCTCACATAAACTTTGTTAAACTCAATGCCGACACCTTGACAACACATTATTTGAGACATTATCCAATCAGCTCACAATGTTTGCTCACTAATTAGGTCGTGTTGGAAACAATGGCTTAGGTTCTCGGCTAGGCACCGAGATTCTGAGCCTCTTATGGGGGCTCCTTGGGGCTGTTGGTGCGGCAAATCACCATAACAGGTAATGAAGGGCATGACAAGCCGCCGGCCTGACACAGGCGCCTTCGGCGGTGCACATAGAGGCGACCTTATGGAAGCCAGATACAGTTGTGGCCTGACTATCTGTCCTCCTCCTGAAGTCGATTGTAAGACTCTCTACATAGTATATGAACCTTCGCAACCCGTCCAGCTTCTTGTCATCTATATTCTGCTTCGACATCTCAATAACAATTAAAGAATCCCATATACACCAAAAACCGTCCAGTTTCGAGCATCAGGGAAGAAATGGCTTCTCCAGCTACGCCTGATAGCGAGACTTCCAGACCGCTTAACCCAAATATGGTTTATCGCGCAATCTCTCCGCCTGCGACCTCCTTTCCTCGTGATGATGGAGACGACAAGCCAGTCAAAGTCCGCTTCCACTTCATAGCTATCATTCGTTTCATTGTCATCATTCTTGCATGTGTTGCTTTTGGTTACTCGGTCCACAACGGAAACTTCGCTCCAGTTCTTCTGTCCATCCTCGTCATGCTTCTTATCCTATGGAACTTTTGGCAGATTGTCGTTGCTGTAGTTGGCGAGAAAGGGGGCAAGTTTCATCTCCCATCGTTCAAGCTTCAAATCGGCTCCTGGCACTGTTCATGTGGAGGTGACCAGGACGACCTCCTACCAAGTCATCGGGACGAGCCTGAGCCACCAAAGAAACGACCCCTTTTACCCGTTGAGAAGCTGGACCTGGCACTGTCAGTCTTCACGCTGATAATCTCTCTTATCGCCCATAATGACTGGAATTACCGATGGTATACCCAGGAGGTCATGTTTCCCCTTATTTGGACTGTCGTGTAAGTTAACCCAACTTCTCATCTGCCTTTGATACTCGCTAATTCTTTGCCAGCGCTTTGGAGTTCACGATTGTCTTTCTCTCCTACTTCAAGGTGTTCAAAGGCGTCACCATCTTCGTCATGCCCGAGGAGGATAATCGAGATACATATCAATACCACATCCAACTTCCACAGAACGTCGAATCAAGACCGACACAGGGCAAAGGACTATCTGTTCAAGCCTGAGACAATCATCCATGCGTAGCCATGTACGACCACGACTTGGTTAGGCACCAGCCCAAGCCCCTCGGTTACGCTCACCTTGGACATGGGGCTCGAAATTTGAGTGCTCATGGTCTGGGTGAATAGGGACGCTCGTCGAAGTGTGTGGTCTTCTCGATGCCATACTGGGAGACTTTATGTCGACGGCTTGTACTACAGAGAGTAGGGCTAGACAGCGACAAGAGATCCCGTCCAATCCTTGTTGCGTGCGTCATTGACGTATTGCGTTGAAATCGATATCCTCTTAATTATTGCGTGTATTTTGGGAAACATTGGGCATGAGGTTGATGTATCATGATTGTTTCTTTAAATTAATTAGTCTATAAAAACAACACCTTAAAAAACATCCAACTTACGTCACTCTTTTATCCATACATTCCGTATACATCTTTTTCTGCACCCCTACGCCTTTCGGACCTCTCTTCCACACCTGTCCCAGACATCCTTGCCCGTTATGAAGGTAGTGATCAACATAGCTATTCCAACCAGGCCAGGCTCAATGTTCATCCATCCGACAATAACACCCGGGATGGTCGTATCAAGGAGATCCGACACAACCTTCTTCAACAATCCCCGCGACTTGGCCTTCACCTCCTGACGGTGTTTCAGAGCCTGCTCCTTTCTAGCTTTCACCTTCTCCTGGTCGACCTTCTCACCCGTGCCGAAGCCATCTCCGGTCTCGGGCACTGGCGCCATTGCATACAGGGAGAGAATCTTGACACATCCAGATAGAGCGCCGCACACTAAAGCGAAGAGCCAGAAACGTTGCGCCTCGATGTTGATGAGGACCGTCCACTCACGTCCCCAGACCGACAGGCCGCTGATGCCCAACGCGTCGACGGTCGTAGACGCTTCCAGTAAGAGATACATGCCGTTGAAGGTGCGCGCGAAAATGTCCAGCCAGACATCCGTCGGGAAGCCGGTTCTCTTGCTGCCCTTCTCTGAAGTTGCGGCAAATGAAGATAGCGAGGTGTAGAGTACATGGGCACCGTAGAATGAGTCCACGAAGCGGAAGAGCCGGAAGTAGCGCCGGGCGAGGCCCAATTGACCGCGTACGGCGACCAGGATGAAATCAGTCTTGGGACTGTTGTGCTTTGTATAGGCCTCCGGATCTCCAAGCGAGGTGGCATACAATATTAGGCTCAGAAGCACTGGATATGAGTGCAAAATTTGCACGATAGCTTGTACGCCTCGTAGAGTTCGCTCCAATCCAACTGGAAATCGTAGTATTGCATCAGTACAAGTTACCATCAATGAAGGAAGGCCTCTTGAGCTCTTTTAGCCAACCAATGCCTTCATTGGGACTTGATATCACTCTCCATGGCAGTAACATCCAATGTGGCACAGTATATGACAAGTTGAATGGCTAATTGGCATATAAAAGGCACTCTACCAAAGAGTGAACGTGAAAAGAACTCACAGGCATCAGTGCCGAAGCGAATGAACTGCTGTAATGTTGACATGTTGTCGGTACTTTTCAATCCAGCTAACTCTCTCAATCCAGCCTAAGGAAAGCACGCAAAACAGCTGCAATCTAAAATTGTTACACCCAATTATTTGAGCAATGTTTTTGAGAACGTCGTGGAATTTTCGTTGTGGATGAGATCCAGCGCGGTGTGATGCCCCGAGTCCGGAGGTCCGTCGTGATTTGATACCCGCGCGGCCGGCGGACGGCCAATCACCCCTGCCCAATTACAATTGTTAGAGAATCGGTCCACTAAAAGTGGATTGACAACTTCTCCGGTATTCAGATATGGCGATGATGCGTTAGATACGATACTTATAGATTGATCAGTTGGGGTAAACACGTAGACATTGTTTGATCCACTGAGTGGCCAGTGGTCGGGCAAATCAACCCAACAATCTGAAGAAGCCATGGAAACAACCGCCGGGCCTCAGCGGCGATATCACGAAGCAACCAACACGACAGATGGCTAAACAGGCAACCTCAATTTGCAACAAAGTAATTACAGTACACTTTCAGACGATGGTCTACGTATGCACATTTTACAAGCCGAATCGCGTGTATCCCCTAACCATTGCGACTCCGCAGACTTTCTCATATCCTTTCGTCCTACTCGGATCTCGCTCATTGGCCAGGAGCCACCAGCTTACCCTGCTGCCTTGTGTCATGCTGCCAGCCACCAGCCAGCGGCGTGCCGCCGTTCTCCGCCGCGAACTTTGCCATACGAGCCTCAAGCTCCGGTCGGAAATGACGGATGAGACCCTGAATAGGCCAGGCAAACGCCTCACCGAGAGCTGCAAACAGATATCAGTAAAATTGTATTGGACAAAGTATCAAAATGCTTGTAACTTACCGCAAATTGTGTGACCCTCCACCTGTTTCGTCAGCTCTTGAAGCATATCAATCTCACGCTCGCGGCCCTGTCCCTTCTCGAATCGGCTCATGATTTGCTCAGTCCACTTGCTACCTTCTCGGCATGGTGTGCATTGACCGCAGGATTCGTGACGGTAGAAGTGTGACAGCCTCGCAATGGCTCGGACAACATCGGCACTCTTGTCCATAACGATAACAGCAGCGGTACCTAGACCAGACTGGCTGTCCTTCAGGGCATCGAAGTCCATGATCTGGTCGTCGCAAATCTTCTTGGGGAGAATTGGTGTAGAGGAACCGCCGGGGATGACGGCAAGAAGGTTATCCCAACCTCCGCGAACACCACCACAGTGCTTGTCGATGAGCTCACGCATGGAAATGGACATCTCCTCTTCGACTGTCACTGGGTTGTTGACGTGCCCACTAATGCAGAACAGCTTCGTGCCGCTATTCCGCTCCCGACCGAAAGAGGCGAACCAGTTACCGCCACGGCGACAGATAGTAGGGGCAACAGCAACAGTCTCAACGTTCGTAACTGTAGAAGGACAACCGAACAGACCGACAGCAGCGGGGAATGGCGGCTTTAATCTTGGCTTGCCGGCCTTACCCTCTAGCGACTCGATCAAGGAAGTCTCCTCGCCACAGACGTAGGCACCGGCACCACGGTGAATGTAGACGTCAAAGTCGTATCCAGATCCGCAAGCATTCTTGCCAATGAGACCCTCCTTGTACGCCTCGTTGATAGCCTGCTGCAGGACAGCGGCCTCGTGGTAAAACTCACCACGAATGTAGATGTAGGCAGCGGTAGCGTTCATCGCACGGCCAGCAATCAAGCAGCCCTCGACAAGCTTGTGGGGGTCCTTTCGCATGATCTCGCGGTCCTTGCAGGTTCCGGGTTCGCCCTCGTCGGCGTTCACAACCAGATAGCGTGGCTTATTGTCCTTGTCCCAGTCTTTGAAGTTCATGAAAGACTGCATTTGAAGAGTTGATTAGCAACCTGATACCATCGATTGATGATGCGATAAGTTGTAGAGGTTCATCATACCCATTTGAGACCTGAGGGGAATCCAGCACCACCTCTTCCTCTCAATCCGGATGCCTTCACCTCGCCGATGATCCAGTCGTGTCCCTTCAGAATGATCTCCTTCGTCTTGTACCAGTCTCCCATCTTCTTAGCATGCTTCAGGTCGGGAGGATAGCGGCCGTAGAGATTCTGGAAAATGCGGTCCTGGTCCTTGAGGCCGCCATAATGCTTGACGGGGTTGCCATCCTGGACGGTCGCGAAGTTCCGGGATGGCTGCTGCGTCGTCGTCGCAGCGCCGGCGGCCACCCGCGAGATGGCCTGAGTAGATGTTCTCGACGGTGCCGCGGTTCGTGACAGCATGGTGAGGGTGGGGGCTGCTCAATTGAGCAGGATAGGGGATGCCAATGGCCGGGAGGTTCGTTCTTGACGTTGTTTGAGAGAATGTGCGCGAGGCACTTTGGGTGGGTAGTTCTTAGAGATCGGAATTTGCTCATCGATGATTCGTCCGTTGGGGCTGGTGTGGCTTGTTCTGTGGCGACAGCTCCCATTCTCCCCGACCTGAGCCTCATCCACTAGCCGATTTGCCGGGGGCGGCATCAACACTGCACGTAACTTGACTAGCTTTGCGATACTGGGGAGACCTTTGTACAATATCGCTATAAATTATATGGTCAGAAAGATTGAACAGCACTTTAAAGTTGTCTATCCGACTACCTGGGCTATATCATCAAACGATACTACCCAGCCATGATTCCCTCGTCCCATTCACGGTGACGCGCCTCCCATACAGTCAAGGAGACACTTGACAACCGCTATCTTCAAAATGTCTTCCTCCACGAAACGCACGTCTATTATGCCACCGAGCTCCCAGGCAGGCCCCAAACCGCCAGTCAAATTCTCATCCTCAATCACCATCGCCGACGCTGCGGTCTTGACCGGCTCTAACGACATCATCATCTCCTCCGAGTCCGTCATCCATCCTCGCGCTAAGATCGACTCGCTGGGCGGGCCCGTGAACATCGGCAGGCGGTGCATCGTGCACGAGCGGACGGCGATCGGCGCGCCCGTCGAGGGCGCCTTCCCAACGGGTCACGGCGTTACGCTTGGCGACTATGTGACGGTAGAGGTGGGCTCGGTCATCGAGACGGGCGGAACGGCAATCGGAGAGGGCTCGATCATTGGAGTTGGATGCCGGATTGGCACGGGTGCGAGAATCGGGAAGTGCTGTACTATCACGCCGCAAACGACCATTCGGGCCGGAGAGAAAATTCCCGACTTCACTGTCGTGTACTCAAATAATACGCGTCGGCAAGACAGGAGAGGTGTGGCAGAACTCAGGCACAAGGGGCAGGCACGACAGATTGACGTGTTGAGGAGGCTAATACCAAGCAACCCATCCAAATTTCAATAATAGAGATACCCAATAGAAAACATTTTGTTCATTTTGATTCATATTGTGAATACCAGACGCCTCGCTTGGGGGGCTTTGCCCCAGTTCTATACATGAATGGACCGAGCAATGCCGCTGGGTAAGCCCTTGACCTCAAAAATGCCAAATTCGTCTATAAATAACGAGACTTCATCCATTCGCTTGTCCCTAAGCCGAGATTCAACCCGTTCTCTGCCCACCAGCGCCTGACGGCAGTCTGGTCACCTAGAGCATCTTCTAATGCCTCTTCGATATCCATGGTCTTATACTCGACCTTCTTTGCCTTTCGGCCATCCATCCCTGGTAGCTCAGCATGAGCATACTTCTTCCACCAGTCCAGCACAGTAATCTGCGAGAATGTGGTTGGTTCCATTAGGATTGTCACATCAAAGATGATTTTGTCATCACCACGAAGCGTCCGCCACAGCTCTAGGACGCCCACTTGGCCATATCGGCTTGCCATCTTGCACACCCCCTCCTCGTGGCCCACAGTTACACCACTGTCCGCCCACCACTGAATGACCTCCAGCTGTCCATACTGCGCTGCAGCAAGGAGCGAACGACCAGGTTTGAGCACAACCAGAGGGTCCTGTAGAGACGTCTCACGCCACCACTCCAGCACTTGGAGCTGCCCCTTGGCGCTCGCTTGCTCGAGAGATCCCTCGGTATATTTAAGAGGCAGGCCAGAGCGACGCCACCATTCAAGCACATGAATGTAGCCATTCTTAGAGGCACCATCAAGAGCTTCGGCATCATACTGTTTCTCGAGGAAAGAAGGTGATCGCGCCCACCAGTCCAGAATCTCAGTTTTGCCGTAATATGCCGAGGCTTTGGTAGGGATGGTCTTCCCGTCGAAGCACTTGAAGACGTGTGGACAATTCGCTTCGATATATGAGAGCACTCCTTTGAGGCAAAATTTAAAGATAAGCTTAATCGCTAGCGCGGACAGATCATGGAACGTCGAGGGTGCCTCGGAAAGCTTCTTGCAGATAGCCGTGGTATCTGCCGAGAGCAACGTCCATTCGAGCTCATGGGTAAACACTTGTAACGGGTCGTTCGAGTCTCTGGGCTGTAATCGCCAGCCCAGACTCGTCGGCATTTCTAGATTGGTGAAAACATCAAGGGCTTTTGCCAACTCCCAATCGTTCGTGTACTCGAATATAATGCTCCATATCTCCGGCGGTAAGGTTGAATTTGCTTTCTTTCCCCGGCTCGCTAGAGGTTGAGCCGCCACGTCGACATCATGGCCCAGGGATAGGAGATCGGCTTGGTTCTTGATGATTCCCACCAGCTCGTTGAAAGCGTCCCATTTCACGATTCTCTTTGGATGAGTGACATCCATTGTTTCGTAATGCCATAATATGGGTGGCATAACTCGAATCCAGTGCCATTTCCGGTGGAGTTTGCTCAGTTGCTTCTTCGTTACTGGATTCTCCCACATATGAGTTGACATGCCAGGCACAAGCAGGATCCTCTTTGAGGCATCCCATCCCCGCAGAACCTCGAGGAATAACGTATCAGTGATGCCACACATCATCTTGGCTAGATTGTCGGCATCTATGGGGGCGAGGACCATTAGATCAGCCCATTCGACCAGCTCGTATGCCTGATGCTGCAAGGACTCGAGCTCCTTCGACGAAGGTGGCGACTCCCCATTACAACCCCTTCTCAGAGACTTGTTCTGGTGGCAGACAATCTCCTGTGCAAGGCGATGGGTCATATCGTCGACGATAGCACGAGTGACGATCTGCGGCTCCTTCGACAACCGAACTGCGACAGCCTGGGCATATGCCACGTCCTTGAGGCCATTGGCGGCAACCAGCAGACGCAGCTTTCTCGGACGATGCATCTCGTTGATAGACACCGCCGAGGGTAATCGAGGGATTGTCGAGGTTGTGGGCGGAGGTTCACCAGCGGTCGATGAGGAGGAGGCGGCCATCTTTGTTGAATTCAGGAAAGAATTGGGGTGCGTGCTGCACCAAGTCTACCCTGGCCAATCGTGATAATCAGCCGTTTCTCCAGCCCACGATACGTGTGTGTGATCGACTGGGGAGCTTGGCGCAGGAGATCCGGGCCCGTGTCTCACGCTGACGGCACGGAAAGCCCTTCTTGCAGTGGTTCGGAGGCGTCCTGCGGCTCTTTGTGGACAGCAACCACCAGCAAAAGAGCCAGCGATATGCGCGTATCCAGGTGTTCCCCTGTCTAGCGGCGAAGAATGAGTTGAGGCGGTCGGAGACAGATCGGTGCGGGGACGGTGGCAGTGACTTGCCTGCTCGAGGTGATAGGTTCGTTCAGTCGCTGCAGGAGCGCGGGACGGGAAGGAAGGTTCGATGTCGGTGTGAATGTGAAAGTGCGCTGGGCGGGTGCGTGATGCGTCAATGTCTTTCTGGCGAGTCGGTGAAGATGCGCGCGACAAGGCTTAATGCGTCTCAATTCTGAGTCTACCTCGAGGTAGGTCGGGTTTGCGCCTGAAAAAAAGGCCTGTCACTCAAGTGTGAGTGGCGCTCTCCTTCCGAGTGCTTAAATCGGCTGATGCAGACTGACGTTTTAGTGACGCTGAGCCAATTAGCAGCGTATGATTTGTGACTTCTAGCGAGACCCTAGTGCGGGGAATTTCCTCCGCCCGCTGTAGTCCCTCTAATTTAGCGTGGTCTCCGGCCACTGGGACGGACCTTATTAGAGGCTTGAACATTCCTCTTTGGGCTTTCATGACGAAGAAGACTCTTTTCCTACACAGAGGACTACAGAGGGCAAATGCGTTAACATGCTCACCATACAAACTCGGCGATCCATTGGAATCCAATATACAACCTGACTTCTACTTTGGCTTGGGACATCACTTCTGTAATGAGTACCTAGGTAGCCTCCGTTGGAAAAAAAATTCCGAGGGGACCAGCTATCATTTGTAGTGTCATTCAGTATATCACAACGAGCCACACCAATGAGGTGGGAAAGATGAACTCTTACATAAACCGGCGTCACTTGACTGCTCACAGGTGATCTTACTGGATTGTGCTGTCATAGATATCTCCAGAGGAACGACCTGTTCCATGACCAATTTCTCAATTCGCTAACAAGCATTACTGTACGTCATGTATGGAGTACTGTACTCCCTTAACCGTAACGTATTCATCCCCCATTTCCATTACACAGTCAACAAGCTACTCGCTTTTCATGTCGGGTTTGATCGCATTCTACAGCCCGGCAAGTGTTCTAGCCTTCTTCCAACTCAGAAATACGGGAACGTATCCAACACTCCTTAGGCTTCTTAAAGCCTGCTTTGAATCATCAGATGACTGGAGCTCCCTTGTTATGCTACCTTGAAAGAGCAGACCTCGCAAGCAATGATCCCTTCCGTGTACCTGAGGCTCGCTCGAGTCCCCTGATGATTGCACATCCCTCACGCAAGGCCTCTTCTTTACCAGCAGACCGTTCTTCGGTTATGTCTTTGCCTCATCCTCTGTCGCAAGCGCTCACAGAACAGAAGGCATGTTTTCCGTCGGGCTCGCAGCATGAGCCAGGTGCACAGAGGCTTGATATGGCCCACTTCCCATCCTCATGACAGACGAGGATCTTCTCCGGTGGTATGCAGCGATATGAGCCAGTTCTCTCGCATGACCCGTAGTTCGGCTTAGGTTCGAGGATCAATTCGTCCACAGGCGATGCAGCCGCGAACGCAGCTATGAGTAGTGCGAGGAGTGCAGTGAGTCGTATCATTCTGGATATCTGGCGATTGCACTCGGGCAACGATATGTGTGTGATGAGGCGTTGAATCAATTTAGAGCTTCCCTTTGCGAGGCAGGATGATGATGTACACTTGGTCGTTTCTTTAAGGTTTTGTGGCAGAGGATATTTTGACTTTGCGGATGTTTAGATTGGGTTACTCAAAGCTAGGGAACCGATCTTAATAAACCGAGCCGCCCTTGCTTCCATTCCTGTTTTCTGGTCTGACGCCACTATTGCCATGCGAGACACAAAGTTCCCCATTCCATTCGTTCATGTAAGACAGTTGGAGTGATTGTATCCACAGCCCCTTCCTTGCCTCAGACACCTTGAGCTCAGCTATTATGGTGCGCTACTTTCCGATCCGAGGCGATGTTGCGAGTCTGACTTGGAATCTCAGGTCAACCACAGGGTCCCAATACCTTCCCTCGCTTGTTTCTATGAGAATAAGCGAAGACTTTGAAGCCGAGAAAGCGGCATCTGCTTACTATTCGTAACATCTTGCCCAAATGTGTATCGGAATGTACTATGTGTCTCGCACGGTGGCCAGGCGCCGTGGCTTCTTAGTCTATTTAGACGCCTGTTACCTAGTGCCAGTCTAGGGGTGAGAACAATGCACATGACGATGAAGTCTCCCGGCATGCGAGTAAGTCCTGGAATGTTGACGTGCCTAAAATTAGCCCCTTCTGTCTGTTACACAGATGTCTTCCTTTGAGATTACCGTATTAGGGTCTGAATAGACTTGGCACTCACTACTTGTTAATCTTACGTCTTTGATAACCTTTAAGGCATTCTTCAAAGGATCGAACGATGCCAATTTTGAAAGGACATGGAAAGGTGTCAGAAGCAGCTGATCCAGTTCAGCTATTATTGAGCACTCGTCTCGAAATCAGAGCTTCAGTAAAAGATCCAACACAAGTATTTGAAACTCAAACGATCATCACAGAAGCATCACCATGAGGATATATCAGTCATTACTAGCAGCGCCGCTCGTTTCTACGCTGGTTTCTTGCCAGCACATCAATACGCCGGGAGCAATACAAAGTAATGGATTCCTTGAGAACTGCGCAGGTTTTGCACAGGCTGGAAACGGTGAGAGCTGTTGGAATATTGCGCAACGCAATGGCATGGGAATTGATGCGTTCCTGAATCTAAATCCACAGATTGGAGGCTCGGCAGCTTGTTCGACCAAGGTTTGGCCAGGATACTATTATTGCGTTCATACTAAAATCGCAGCTCCTACCTCCGTGTCCAAGGAAGGCCATCGTACCGACGAAGCAACAGCTCGTCCACGTACCACATTTTCATTCAAGGTTGTGAAAACAGCATCATTGCCATCAACCACAAAAAATCGTACACCGACTACAACGACGCCACCGCCGAAATCATATGCTACACTCGATCCAGCAGTTCATCCTACTTGCCACCCCGGATCGTGTTATGACGCGTTTGCTGAAGTGAAAGATGCATCATCGTTAACTGACTGGTGTCAATACTACACGTACGACATCAACCCAGAGACACGGTTTGGCGCAATCCGCAGTCTTGATCAAGGTGTATCCAAGGCGTGCCACTCTCTAGGCCCGGCAAACGATGTGCTCAGCTCATATTGCAACTGCTATGTAGCCGGCGCGATCACGAAGCCACCGGAGACAAGTGTCTCCTGCCACTCGATCTTCCATCACAGTCGCAACTCACGATGGCATATACTCGTGTGCCAGACATTGACGCTCTCACCTTAAACGAATGCCCCTCAATATACTTGAATTCTCGCTTATAGATTATCACAATGAAGAATACAAGATGAAGGAAGCTCCTCCCATTACTTCATTTATGCTAAATGATGTCAAATCATAAACCATTTTGTTGGCTCCTCTTCCACTTATAGAAAGAAGTCAAGTCAAGCGGTACTTTCTCCCCCATCCACGTTGCTTGCTGCGTATGATTCCGCAGACCAGCGTCATGCTCATCGACGCCTTCCTCGACTGTGTTCGGGTGGATGAGCGCAGATAAGGGCCCCCTCCAGATGGTTAACCAGGGAATGAAAGCTCCAAACTGCGCCGGAGTGAAGATATTCACTTCGAACATGGCAATAGGATGTGGTCCAATTGGCCTATCCCAAAAGCGGTATATCCTCAGTTCGGGGACTTTGCAGTGTCAGCGATAGTTATGCTTCTCACAAACCGATGGCATCTCATACATTCCAGTCTGATCCTTTCGTGAAGCTCGCGGGCGTACTTGGCCTGCTCCTCATTTGCTTGAAAATAGTATATGTGTATATCACTGGTTGAATGTAAGTGATATGGTCTCATCAACCTTCATGTATAGACACAACTTACAATCCACCCCTTCTTCCTTTATCTAGCGGATCTGGGAAAGTTTCATATGCATCGCTCAATTTGCCTGTTTGTGGGTTCTTAAGGCTCTTGCCATCTTCAGTCTTCTCGTCTGTAAGCGGGGCAGCATCCTCGTACCCCGTCAGGGGTGACTTGTACGTATAAAAGAACGGATCCGTCATGGCTGTCTTGAGGATGTAAGGAATGCAGCAATTGTTTAAGGCTCCGAATAGCTATACTCAGCGGTTATTCCAACAAATAAAGACACCGGCGATGATAGCTGTTTTATTTGAGGCTGAAGTAAAGTTTTGAGAGAACCACACCACCGGGCGAGGTTACAGCGCCGCGCGGGCTTCTTCTATATTCGGCATTCTGGCGGGATGTGGGCCAGATCGCGGCCTCCACTCAGTCCGTTTTGTCAGCTGGCCAGGCCATTGGATAAGCATAATTGACGTGCTTTACAAGCCTAGTTACGCCGTTAGTAGGCCACATACCATAGCTGACATTGTTTTATAAGACTCTGTGAAGGTCGATTGTGACGTAGAGACAATTTCTGCTACATCTTCGTGTAAGCAGAAGACTGACTACGGATGGTCTCGAGAGATTAACAAGCAGAGCTCGGACTACAGAGACCCAAGCTTCTACATTTGAGTGCTGACTGCAGGCCTAGAACCCCTCGAACAGCCAGACATTTCAGCGCAGACCCACTATAACGGTAGCTGGTAGACCCCGTACCGCATGATGCGAGCATTATCGTCAAACCCCTTTAGACCTGGGGGCATCTTCGAAATCACTTGACTCTCGACGCGCCACTTTGTCTCTGTCTTCTCACCAATCTCATCCCAGAGCTTCTGGAAGCTCTCCTCGTTATGCAGATGGCGCTCTCCGAGAGCCATTGTCCTCTCGGGCCCAGGCTTCAAGCTGCCAATGTGCCAGCCAAAAAGCAAAGCGTCTTTCGTCTCTGGCTTCAGAAATCGCACTACACGCTTGCCGATGACCACCTGTTGTTCCCAGGCGAAGAGGTGGAAGAAGTTGCAGGCGTGGATGATCGTGATCTTGCCATCGAATCGGACGAGATCCGGGTCATCAGGATCTAGCATGTCGCCCGCCACAAAGGTAGCACCGCCTTCCGTCAGCGACTCGCGATCGCGGAAGAGGTCGAAGCCCAGCTCGAGGAACTCGTCGTGTAGGTCGGTGCCGTACAGCCGGGAGGGCTCCACACCATCGCGCACGAGCTGGCGGATGTTCTGCCCGAAGCAGCACCCCAGATCAAGCAGCGCGTCTCGCGAATCTGGCGCTGTCAACCTCTTGACTGCTTCCTTGTAGCGAGGGTCGCGAAGGGTGACGTCGATTCTGGTGAAGCTCCAGCGTCCGATGCAAGGATACCTGTGCACTTGCCAAGCCCTGTCGCGCTTTCGCAGGGGGCCAGCATCTGTCAGTGTCCATGATACGAAATACGATCTGCAGATCTTGCGGTTCTGCGGCTGATTTGTATAGGGCTAAAGGTTGTCGCGAGGCCTGAGCCAGGCGGGGATTGGACCATTGTCTCACTCACAATTTCAGTCAAGTGGCTCTCGACCTCCTCTGGCGGCACTTTGCCGTATTCCTGTAGCAACTCACGGAAGGCGTCAATGTTCTCAGGCACCTTTTTCTCGTACATGGTCTGCTGCCATATAGCCACCGAGACGCCTGCTCCAATTCCCCAATGGATGTTTGATCCTAGATCCATCAAGGTGAGGAGATAGATTTGGTGATGCCGACGCCTCTCTGCAACAGTAGTAGTTTTAATTAGGCAGGCGACGTCTCCCTTATAAGTCTCCGCCCCCAACCCACAGCACTGGTCTCCCTAAGCATCGCCTCTGCAACCTCTGCAACCTCTGCAAACCCCTTAGCTGCCATAACGGCACCTTCTTTCTCCGTTCGCCGATGATTCCTACTATCTCTTTGCCTAATTATTGAAGATCTTAGATAGTAAGAACCGTCGGCGAACGGATGAAGAAGGTGCCGTTATGGCAGCTAAGGCGACGGCACCAATGAAGGAACAGGACTGCTTTGCAGGTATGGCGACATTCACCTCCCCGCCGTTCGACCTCGGCTGGGAACATGACTTAGGTGACGGTATAGTAATGACCGGGCTTATTAGCTTCTGTTCCCCAATCAAGCAAAACCCTCGAGGTGATAAGGTGAGCGTCTAAGGCACTTATACGGCGATATGCAAAACAGATGGGTCCGAGTCTTGGCAAAACTGTGACTTGATTGCGAGCGAGTAGCGGTGGCCACCAGATGCAGTCCCAATCGGGATTTGGTGCACACGCGTGACTTGCTAAAATGGTGATTTAGAAAGCGAGCCTTCTTGACGCTCCGGCCGGTGCTTGCCTCCGTCTCACAAGATCGACTTCCGGCACCCAGTCGCCGTTCCCACTCCGGGATGCCTCCACTTATTTCGGCAACCGGCTTTTCCAATGTCGGCTCCGTGAGGTCCGATTACTTGCTAGAGTAAGCAATTATTGTCGCGCAGCATGCAATGCACATGCGAGATCCTGTAGCAAGGACTCCAGCCTGACTTTGACAGTATCATCCTTGTACACGGCATCCAGGGGCATCCCAGGACGACTTGGGCAGACAAGAAGACAGGAAAGTACTGGCCCAGTGACCTCCTGCCAGCATCTTTTCCGAAAGCTAGGATTCTGGTTTACGGATACGACAGCAAAGTATCTCATTTCTTCAGCGGTCCTACCAACCAATCCTCGTTCTTGGATCATGCCAAGAATCTGCTACTCGATCTACAAGGAGTACGAAAGGACGAGGTAAGCTAGAATTAGTAATATCAGGACTACATTCGATCTGCTCACAAGGCACGCCTCTATATAGCCAAAGCGGCCCTTGCTGTTCATCTGCCACAGCCTTGGGGGAATTCTCGTCAAGGACGTAATTCGAAGGTGTGAGATTGGCCGCGAGACGCTACAACGTGAGGCGTACGAGGACATTTTCTTGTCTTTGACTGGCATTCTCTTTCTCGGAACACCACACCGTGGAGGCAACTACGGCTCGCTTGGCAAAACCGCGGAGAGAGTGGTGCGATACCTGGGCTTTGACACCAATGATTCTATTCTTCGCGATCTCCAGAGCAATAGTACAGCTTTTGAGCTGATCAATGATGAGTTTTCACGTGTATTGCGCGCCCCAGTGTACCACGAAGAATCATTTCGTCCAGTCACTATATACACCTTTCAGGAAAGCACTGGACTTGCTGGTGTACGAGGGCTGAATGGAAAAGTGGTCGATGATGCTTCATCTAAACTTGGCTTTAACCAGGAAGTCGTGGCATCACTTTCGGGAAATCACATGGACATGTGTCGCAATTTGAATGAAGGGGGTGCCGACTACGAGCGCATGAAGAACGCAATTGAGACTTGTTTTTGTCTTGGGGAGGACATGAGCTCGTGGAGATCTAGGTGGAGGTCTGAGAGGCGTGGACTACGACCACCATCGTTACAGAAGCGGATTCATAAGCTGCCATTCGATAAGGACCCGAATTTTGTTGGCAGAGAGACTGAGCTTCAAGCCTTAGCGAATATGCTGTCCGATGATCTCGGTGAATTTGCTCTAGTAGGCCTTGGAGGTGCTGGGTGGGTTCCTACCTTGTCTTTTCTGCTTCGAGATGTCCTTCCCTCTGTCCTCGAGCAACACATATTCTATGTTTCTGATTGTAATGTACACGCATAACTGATTTTATGCCCGCAGGAAAACCCAGATCGCTATTGAATTTGCACACCGACTTCTGCAGCAGGAATCAGAGCTCGAGCCGAATGCCCGTCGGCAGGTATTTTGGCTCCATGCCAGCAGCGTTTCCCGACTGGAACAAGGCCTGAGAGAGATCATGGATCATGTAAATGGCCCTGACCTAACCAACACATACTTGTCCTCGTTTCGCGAGTGGTTCTCCGACCGTCAGAGCGGACGATGGCTCATTATTATTGACAATGCCGATGATGAGGAGATGTTTTTCTCTGATGTGTTCCATTCAACTGCGAATCAGGACATTGATTGGCGTCCATGGATCCCTCCAAGTGCTGCAAAATCCGAAAGACATCGACTCTGTGATTTTCTTCCAAAGAAGTCAGGTTGTAGCATCCTATATACTTCGCGAAACAACATATGCGCGACCCGGCTGACCTGTCGGAGTGGTCCTGCGAATCTGGTGATGGTCAATCCTATGCCTAACGCCGATGCGATTGCACTTGTCGAGAATGGACTTCGAGGTCACCTAACAGAGCATGATTTGGCTTCCATGAGGACCTTCACCGAGAAGCTGGTAGTGGTCCTTGACAATCTCCCCTTGGCAGTATCTCAGGCCACCGCCATGATGCGCGAAAATGGAGACTTTCGAGATCCCAAAGCCTACCTCGAGCTTTACAGCGAGGTACGAGACGAACAGGGTAAGTTTCTTGAAGAGAACTTTGTCGACTGGAGACGACATTCAGACCTACCAAACTCCGTCTTCCTCTCCTGGAAGATTTCTCTCGAGCAGCTGAAGAAGCGGAGCGAGAGTGCTGTGCTGCTCCTGTCTCTCTTCAGCGTGCTAGATCGACAAGGCATTCCCGAATGGCTACTAGCATTTTTCCCCAAGGTTTCTCGATACGACAGAGCGGTTGGTCTCAATATGCTGCATTCTTTCTCATTCATCAGCCGACCTGACGCTACCCCCGACAAAAAGAAGTGGCAAATGCACCGCTTGGTTCAGATCGCTACCCATGCATGGATCGGAAGGGATGGTCTCGAACACACACTTCGGATGGCTATTCGAATGCTCGCTGAAGCATTCATGGGTCATTTGAGCGACATTGGTGATCGAAACTTGAGACTCCAAAAGAGTCTAGAGTACTACCCGCATGCCAAAAGTGTGTTGTTTCTCCTGGATTCTATCGGTCTTTCCAATCGTAGTCCTGCTGTCCAAAAAACGTTGAGTTCCTTCGCGAATGAGTTCTACGGCAAGAATAAGGAGATCACTGACAAACTGTCCTGGGCCGTGGACTTTGTTTCACAGTCTGATTTCACTACGCTAGAGAGCCTGCACCTGTTTGTGGAGGAGCTTACTGGAGAGAGCAACTTCTGGTTCCGATATTATGGTATTCGTCCATTGGTTAGCACTCCACTATATCATGCGCTGGTAAACAACACCGAGTCAGATGATTTTGATTCACGTACGTTCACCGAGGTGGATGGTATACCGCAACGCTGAGGCCGATTACAATCAAGGACAAATGATATTCCTATGAAACTTACGTCAAGGCTTCCCAAAGACATCTACAGGAGAGCAGCATTGACATACAAAATCTGCCCCTGCCTCAATTCAGATTATTTCAGAGAAGCATTAGCTCAACATGTGTTGCCTCAATTATAAGGAAATTGCTGAGCTATTGCATATTCAAAAGAGACGAAAGAATGCTAGACATAGAACACACAACCGGCTCCCTATGACAATCTTGTAAAACAGTACCCTTTGCAACCGCGGCTTAGTGCAAATGATAAATTGCCTGTTGACTTTCACATGATGCGTTATATGGCTCACTCTAGAGAGCAAGAAGAGCGAAAGCAATGCCAACCAGCGGGAAGCTAGCCCCAACAATCTTGGCCGCCGCAGCAGTGACGAAGGGTGGACCCGTCGACGTGGGAGTAGGAGTCGGGTAACCAGTCGTGGTTCCGTTGGTGTTGTTAGTCGGGCTTGGTGTATCTGTCAAATTGCATCCTGAGATACCAAGTGACGAATTGAGCGAGACTTGGAAGACCCCCTCGTCCGCGACGGTGGACTTGACCTCGAATGTAAGGTCACCGGCGCTCTGAGCTGTGTAGGCAATAGACGCTGGTGTGATGCCATCCGTGGTATTTGAGCCAAGCGACTTGCCAGAGCCATCTTTGAGCTCTCCATCAAGCACCTGCGATGACAGCGACTCGAATGTGAAGATCAAGTCCTCAGAAGCCTGTGCAGCGTATGTGAATGCTACGGCCTGGTTGCCGCTCAGCTTTGCGACTGTTATCCCTGGAAGCAAAGCCTGTTCAGCTGTCGCACTGTGGTCAGATGCTGTCAGGCCGTTGGACAGCATCAAGAAGAGGAACGATTGGATTGCATCAGCAGTAGCGAACGAGCTGTACGTTCCACCGGTCTTGAGAATGGTTTGAAGAAGATCGGGCTCGAAGAAGGACTCGGGGGGTGCGAGGAAGCCGAAGCTTACTCGAATTCCAGCGTCGCCGGCTTTCTTGACATTGTCGATCAGCGTAACAGTGTCGTAGTCTTCACCGTCGGTGAGTACGACAATGCCGGAGCGGTCCGCTGTGGGATCGTTCCCGGGCTTCGTGAGCTCACTCATTGCCTTGTCCACGCCACTATTGAGGTCAGCGATGTCCACAAGATGTATGAAGCAGTACTTACTCAGCGATCCATGTACCTCCGTCGCTATCGATGGTATCGAATGAGCTGTCAGCACCAGCAGGGTCACCCAGGGGGTAGATGATCGTGGCTTCGTCGTCAAAGTCGACCACAGTGACCAGATCAGCCTTGAGATTACCCGTGGCTGCTGAAGCGGTGACAAGCTGGCTGTTCAAGGACTTTCCAGCAATGATCCGGAGATTGTCGGGGTCATTCCAGCTCATCGATCCCGAGGAATCCAGGACGATAGCAATTTTCCTGCCTCCATTGCTGGTTGCCAGCTGAATTTGACAAGTGCCTGTATCTTGCCGACGGAAATGACGATTGGTGTAAGAGGAGGCGAATGCAGAACCTGCAGCCAGGATCAAACTGAGGAATTTGGTGAGTTCCATGTTATGTTGTCGACGTGGTAAGAAAAATGATTATGGAATCACTACTATTGAGAAAACGAGCGTATCGATCTTGGATACAAACGAGGGTATATGAGCGGACGAGCTCACTTCTTCATGTTTGAGAGGGTTGAACTCATCCTTATATACATATATCAAAATACAAAGGTCTAGAGATCGTTGTTGTAGAGTCTCAAATATTCATACTAACCTGCCTTCGCCACTGCACAATTACCTCTTGTGGACGCCATATTACACCACATCAAGCAACAACATCCACTACAGTCGCCAAGGACCTCTCGTATATCTACCTTCTAGGTGTTGGGCCACTCAGCAGTCGGGAAATGAACGGTAAGGCTGAAATATGTGATCGGGCTATGAGAATGTGTTGTGTTGTCACTGCCCCTGAGTCAACTACAGTCAGGGTAGTTACAATGAAGCTGTCCTGCGAGGCGTCGGCCGGCCAAGACTGCAATGGAGAGCGTCACCCAGTAACGGCAAGTTCCTTCGCCCAGCGGTTGGGTCATGGAACTGCGTGTTACAGCACCTCCAATCATTTCTTTCAATTTTCTGCCTGTTGACATGCCGTCTCTTGCCCCGGATCTATGATTAGAACCGTAGGCCTGAAGGCGGGAGCGGCTGTGCACAGGGCAGGCTTTCACGTTGTCGGAAATCAACCTCAGTCTTCGGGCCAAGAGAATTGCTTGAAATCAGCCACCACGTTTCCAACTCTTCGAATATGTCTTTTTGGGTCTACCTGGAATACGTGACTTTGGTGGGTGGCCAATAGTATGCCGGGCCAATCGCTAGAGGTTGTGCGGCTGAAAGCCGAAACGGATGGCACAAAGAATCTTAACCTACGATCTTTCAGGCAGACACCGCCAAGCTGCACCGATTCACGATGTCTCAGTATCCTGGATTGTTTAGGTAACAGAATTTACTGATTTCTCAAGCCATTCAGCAGTGTTCGTGCGTTATGTCTTGAAGTATTGGATTAACCATGTAGTTAGCCAAGCTCTACATCATTAGTATTATGGCCACTTATGAAGCACACGGGAGTCTGCAAAACAGTCACACCAGTCTTGACAAAATGGTACGGGAAGCGGTACTAGGCTAAACTGTGAATGTCATCAGTTCATCTTAGATATGCTCTTGAGGCCTGAACCGACCAAGGCGGAACTGCGCTGGCGGTCGCTAGCTCGGACGCTGCTTAGAAAGATATATAAAGACACTGCCACATCGATCAATTGACTGTAAAAGATATGGAATCGGCCATATAATTATAAATGCCTTTGCTTTATCGCTATGACTCGTATGGTGATGGACAATCTTAGTCGCGATCCTTCCTGGCGGAGTTCCGCCAATCTACATCCTCGATAACACGGTCAAAACTTCATGCAGAAATGATCAACCCAATCCTCATGGCGGTATTCCACAATCATTGCCCATATAAGTAGTTACCTAGGTTGCGTAGAAGGTTATATATAGAGCATTAGAAATCTCAATGCTAGTAAACTTTGATCGACTTACGGGCCAAGAACATTGACTTCTACATATAATCACGTTTTGAAGAATCCTCGTACACAATGTCTAGCTTCGGGGAAATGTGGAAGGCGGCAAGGAACCCTCCAAAAGATCCAACCGATCTGTCCTTCAAAGGTAAAAGTGTACTAGTGACCGGTGCAAACACAGGCATGGGCCACGCTGCAGCGATCAAGTATGCTGCACTGGGGGCATCACCGCTTATCCTCGCAGTCCGAACCAGGGAGAAGGGCGAAATAGCCAAGAAGGAGATCATCCAAAAGACAGGCTGCTCGCCCAACATCTTCATCATCTTGACAGTTGACCTGTCGACCTTCGCATCCGTCAAGAAATTTGTCGACGATCTAAACAGACAAGTGCCCAAGTTGAATGTTGCCCAGCTTGCTGCTGGCATCTGTGTAAACAGCTTCAAGCGCAGCCCGGACGGCCACGAGATGACCAACCAGGTCAATGTGCTCTCAACAGCACTGATGGCCGTCCTTCTTCTTCCTAAAATGATCGAGACTGGGGCCACTCCTTCAGACGATGGCTTCGTGCCTCACATGTCTCTAATCAACAGCGTCGCCCATAATGAAGTCACAGAGGACATAGTTCCTCCCGGACAATCTCTCATCCAGCGACTGGACGACGAGTCCAAGTTTGACACTCGTGCGCACTATTTTCTCGCTAAGCTGGCCACATGGTACGTAGTCCAGGGACTGGTCGATCAGTGCCGAAGCAATGGAACGGGAAGCAATATTGTCATCAATGCGTCCTGTCCTGGTCTCTGCAAGACAGACATGGGCCGAGACTTTCCTACCAGCCAGAGGATGGCAATGGCTGTCACGTACTTCCTTGTAGGCCGAACACCAGAGCAGGGTGCTCGAGCAATGGTCAGCGCCACAGCCCTTGGTCCCGAATCGAATGGAAAATTCTGGTCAAATGATACTTATCCACCGTAAGTTCATCCCAAGGCGAACTACGGCCGCACTGATTGACAGGTTGTATAGAAAAAGTAAATTACTCAACAGCCAACGAGGAACGGAACTGTACCATGAGACATGGGCGGAGGTCCAAGCCATTCTTCGCAAGCATGTCTCTACACCATTGCTTTGATTAGTGTGGAATTTGGATGAGCAAGCTGAATGAAGAAGCAGACATTAGAGAAGCTGTTTGTTGCGTAAATCTTTACCAGTTTGATAGGACAGGATATCAGCATGATCTCACACTCATATTCAACCCAGCCGTCTGATCAACCATTATATAGAACAGGCCGCGGGGTAATCCTTAAACGTGATTGATATATTAGCCTCCATACATTGTCACGGGAAACGTAATTCTTATCAGAGAATATTGTACGTGAACGACACTACTGGGGCGATACTTTTGCAATAAGGCATCCGAATTTGCTTGCTAATTTAGTACGTGATAAAGGGGGTCAACTACACTCAGAGGATTTCTAGCTACGTTGCCCAATTCTGACGATCGACTGAGTGATCCACATGTGCGAATCGAAAATCCACCTAGAGGGACAGAGAAGAGGACATTATGACCAGGGTCACAAGACCGACAGTGCTGAAATCTCAGATGGAATGTTTACTCCTCCTCAAGAGGAGCCTCTTCCTCGTACTCCTCCTCCTCCTCATCAACACCAGCATCCTGGTACTGCTGGTACTCGGAGACGAGATCGTTCATGTTGGACTCAGCCTCGGTGAACTCCATCTCGTCCATACCCTCACCAGTGTACCAATGCAAGAAAGCCTTGCGTCGGAACATGGCAGTGAATTGCTCACCGATACGCTTAAACAGCTCCTGGATAGCAGTGGAGTTACCAACAAAGGTAGAAGACATCTTGAGGCCGCGAGGAGGAATGGAGCAGAGAGCGGTCTGCACATTGTTGGGAATCCACTCAACGAAGTAGGAGGAGTTCTTGCTCTGGACGTTGCGCATCTGGTCCTCAACCTCCTTCATGGAGACCTTGCCGCGGCTAGAGAAAGAATGAGTAATTGTATTTGGCAACAGGAGTGCGATGGGTCAACTTACAAGATGGCAGAGCAGGTCAGGTAGCGACCGTTACGGAAGTCAGAAGCAGCCATCATGTTCTTGGGGTCGAACATCTGCTGGGTGAGCTCAGGGACGGTGACAGCACGGAAAGAGTGAGCACCACGGCTGGTCAGAGGAGCGAAGCCGACCATGAAGAAGTGAAGACGGGGGAAGGGAACCATGTTGACAGCAAGCTTGCGTAGGTCAGAGTTTAGCTGACCAGGGAAACGCAGGCAAGTGGTGACGCCAGACATGACGGCGGAGACGAGGTAGTTCAGGTCGCCGTATGAGGGGTTGGAGAGCTTCAGGGTTCGCATGCAGATGTCGTACAGAGCCTCGTTATCAATGCAGAAGGTCTCATCAGAGTTCTCGACCAGCTGGTGGACCGACAGAGTAGCGTTGTAGGGCTCAACGACAGTGTCGGAGACCTTGGGGGAGGGCACGACGGAGAAGGTGGCCATCATGCGGTCAGGGAACTCCTCACGGATCTTGGAGATCAGCAGGGTACCCATACCAGCACCGGTACCACCACCAAGGGAGTGAGTGATCTGGAAACCCTGGAGGCAGTCACAGCCCTCAGCCTCACGACGAACGACATCCAGAACTTGGTCAACAAGCTCAGCACCCTCAGTGTAATGACCCTTGGCCCAGTTGTTGCCAGCACCGGACTGACCGAAGACGAAGTTGTCGGGACGGAAGAGCTGACCGAAGGGACCGGCACGAACGGCGTCCATGGTACCGGGCTCCAAGTCGACGAGGACGGCGCGGGGGACATACTTGTTGCCAGAAGCCTAGAAAATGGATGTTAGCGAAAACAGAACATGGTCTCGCGATGGCCCACTGCCTACATACCTCGTTGAAGTAGACGCTCATGCGCTCCAGCTGGAGCTCCGAGGTTCCGTTGTAGCTATATCAAATTAGGGCGGTGAACATCAATAATGTGACGATTTCCACCTACACGCCATTGCTGTCGAGGCCGTGCTCGCCAGAGATGGTTTGCCTGAGAGAAGGATTAGTATCGATGTCGCGTTGGGTTCGTCGCGGGTCGAATCGCGGGCTCGAGGAGCTACGCACCAGAAAGCAGCACCAATTTGGTTACCCTACATATCGTCAGTCGTCATCTAAGATGCCGAATAAAGGGCGGCAGCTACTTACGCATTGGCCGGTCTGAAGGTGAACCTGTAGACGTAAAAACCCCACCGGTTAGCAAGCTGGTCGATGATCTGGGGTAGATTCTGGGCTCGTCGAGGACGTCGAAGCTCTCGAGGGAGGTATCGTGATGGTGGGGTAATTCAGGGGTCGGGGCAATCTGGGACGCGTCGCAGAGGGAGGATCATCAACTTACAATCTCACGCATGTTGGCTGATGGTCTGCAAGAAGTAGACTTGGGTGGAAGAGCGAAGCTTGAAGATGAGGCTTGAGACTGGGATGAGGCTCAAGATTGGCGTTGGGGAGATGGTTGGATGGATGGATGGGGAGAGGGAAGGAGGGTTTGTTGATTTTTGGCCTCTGAGTGGGTGCGAATTTCGTTCACCGCTACCTGCCAGGCAGCACAAAAAGAGCAGGGCCTCACACACATCCCCGCTCAGTTGTTTACTCTTTGGGAAGGCGCTCTAACTCAATGCCCAACTAGCGCGACCTTGAACGGCAATGCATACCTGCCACTGTGAGGCCCGTGCTTTCAGGGGAAGGGATCAGATGCACGGTCATGTGATGGCCTTGCAGACACCCATTGACATCAAACAACAACTGTGCAAAGAAGGATCAGCTGGATCATATGACAGCCTTATATTATGTTGTATGGAAAGTCTTGATATAATACTAGAAACTGTAGGAGTAAAAGCATGGGGTGTTGAGGTTGCAACGCGATACTAGATCATCCATCTTCTCATATCTCCTCTCCTCGCATCAAATTGCTGAGAAGCAGATTATAGGAATTATGAGATAGGTTCATACCAAACGCATATGTCATCAATCATTGTTGAACTATGTAGAGGTAGTATAGCTATACATATCTCTAATGAGCTTTGACAACACCAGCTGCATCAGCCTGGGCCGCAATCCTCTTCTTGTACTGCTGCACATCACCAGGGAACTTCTCTACGGTGCCATTGTCACACACCCAGAGCGACGTGCACACGGTCTGCAACATGGTGACATCGTGGGAAACCATGAGCACGCCGCCCTGGAACTCCCTCAACGCCTCGGCCAGGGCGTCCATAGCCTCAATATCAAGATGGTTAGACGGCTCGTCCAGCACGAGGATGTGCGGGTTGGTGAGAGCTAGACAGGCAAATGCAACACGGGACTTCTGACCTCCAGAGAGTACCTCCATCTTCTGGAGACCGGTTGTGCCAGTGATACCAAAGGCTCCAAGCTGCCTTCTGTACTCTTCGTCCGTCTTGCCAGGGTAGGTCTTAGCCATGAAGCTCACGGCGCTCGTGTTCAGATCCAGTGCATCGACGTGGTGCTGAGCAAAGAATCCAATGCGCAGCCGGGGATTCTGAGATATGATACCGGAGGAAGCTTGTAGCTTTCCAATAAGAAGCTTCAGGACGGTTGTCTTACCCGCTCCGTTTGGTCCCACAATGCCGATTCGGGAGTCGAGTTGGACGTCGAGATCGACGTTCTTCAGTAGCACATTGTCCTTGGAATAGCCGAAGGTTACTTCAGACATCTGTACAATAGGAGGCGAGAGCTTCTCCACGTCAGGGAACTTGAACTTGACATTGTATTCTGCCTCGGGAGCCTCCAAGACAGGCATCTTCTCCAGCTTCTTGATACGCGATTGTGCCTCAGATGATTTGGCGGCGTTGTAACGGAACTTGTCGATGAAAGCTTGGAGATGAGCACGCTGGGCCATTTGGTTCTCATACTCTCGCTTGGCCGTCTTCTTTCGTTCTTCCTTGGTGGCATAAAAGGACTCGAAGTTCGCACCTCTGTAGTAATCCAACCGCTCGGAATGTTGATGTATAATATCAGTTGCGATTTCGTTCAAGAATGCTCTGTCGTGAGAGACGACAAGCACAGTGCTGGGGTAGTCTTGGAGGTAGTTGGAAAGGAAAGTAATTGATGGAACGTCCAACATGTTTGACGGTTCGTCGAGAAGTAGTAGGTCAGGTTCACAGAAGAGGGCTCTGGCAAGAGCGAGACGCATTCGCCAACCTCCAGAGAATGTCTTCGTTGCAAACTGTTGTCGTTCTGGTGAAAAGCCCAAACCAGCAAGGATACTTGCAGCTCGAGACTCGGCCTTATCGGACTCCATCTCGGCAAGCTTGCCTTGGATGTCTCCAAGCTTCTGATCTTGTGCCTCACGATCCTTGTCAAGTCTTGCGGCATCGGCAGACGTATCGGCTAGCGATGCTCGTTGGCTTTCGATTTCGGCAAGCTTTTGTGTGATTTCCTAGTGGTGTATTAGTGATGTGTGCGGTGCTCGCAGGTGCTCGTAAAGTACATACTGCTTGCTCTCTCAACAGAACCTTTCGCCAAACATCTGCATCCAGTACAGCCTGCAACGCTGGGGTGTCGTCGCCAGTAATCTAGAGTTGTTAGCATGAGAATCTCTGTCGGCAAGGGGAACACGTACCTCTTGTTCAACGTGAAGAATAGAAATGTGCGTCGGAATAGGAACTTCACGTCTTGATAGAGCGCGGAGTAGCGTAGATTTACCAACACCGTTGTGACCGACCAGACCATACCGATGACCGTACGCTAGGGTGAAAGTGGTGTCTGACAGGATTCTTTGTCCACCTATGGAGACGTCGATGTTGTCGATCTTGATATCCTTGGACTTGCCGCCAGCGCCTTGGCCCATCTGGAGCGGGTTGACTGCCATGTAGAACTCCTCGTATGACTGGGTAGACTCTGGCTGGTTCAGCAACCGGGACGCCTCGTACTCAACAGTCTTGAACGTCTTCTTGCTCTGCTTGGCAGCAATCTTCCGTTCGGCCTTCTCCAGCTTCTTCTTGTCGACCTTTGACTCTACCTTCCTTGCGTTAGCAGACTCCAGATCGACAGCTCCGGTAGAAACGGCCAGTGTCGACGACATGTTCCTCTGCGAGCCGACTTGGATAGTCTGGTCCAGTCTTTTGATCGTCGGACCTCTCCTCTCTGTTGTGCCATTTGCGGTGTTGTACTTGTCGACCCATTTGTCAACTAGCTGCCGGATCTTCTCCTGCTGCTTGGCGTCAGAATCGCCGGCGGCAGAGAGAAGGAGCTCCGTGACCGCGAAGGCGGCTTCCGACAAGGGGGAGAGACCGGAAGGCTCCTCTTCGTCGGTCCATGATGTGGAGGCATGGGTAAGATACCCGACCGAGTACTCCGATATTACCGGGTCAATGTTCGGAAGAACGGTCCTAATTTCGGCCTCCATGGTGCCCGGGGTTTCGGGGTGGTTCCGGAGGAGCAGTGTCAAGGGTAATCCGCCACCAAAGGCACAAATCCAGCCGCTGCAAGCCCTGCTTCACTGGAAATGCTATATGCGGCTTGATAGTCCCTGAGCTGTCAAATTACACTTGGCTAGACGAAGGTACAGCGAATCCGGCGTTGATTTGTTGGCTGCTTTAGGCACTTGTGGTGATGTAAAAAAGCTCCCCTCCAAGGCTTGACGTCTTTTTCGTGTCTCACCAATTGGCTGGCCGTCCCCCGCCCCGCTTTCGCCTTCCTTTTGGAGGGCAATTATGGTCCGAGTGGGGCCTGTCATTGGCCAGCTGAGACAGGGATCTCGCGTCATATCCAAGCCTTGCCCGCACAGACTAAAACTGGCACGCGAATCCCAGCAGCTCGGGCCACTGTGGAAATTTAGAGTGCGATTTATCAGCCGGCATCTCCAAACTACTAATTTGCCGTCACCGAATGGGCATCCGGGCGACGTGCACCCATGGAGACTGCATGCTGCCGGCTACAATGTGCCGTGTCTTTGTACGGAAGCTTCTATTCTAATCGGCCTGCATTCAAAACCCTTTCCCAGCGTCGTCCAAGGCCTCAAAGAGGGCCAGCGAGCCAGCTGTTTACTTCTGCAAGCAAGACTGCATTGCATCGGAGGACCGGCCATTGATGAAGACGCATCGCCGTGACTTCTCTGAAACATGCTGCCTGATGCAACGACGATCACTGACTTACATGAGGAGGCGCCGCCATCCAACAGAAACAGCCCCAGAAGTAGCAGTGAGGAGGCGAAGGGGGTAGAGGAAAAAAAAAAGTTGCTCGTCAATCTAAAATCACGCACAGAAGGACACCAGCCGGTAATGACGCGGTCCCCGACATCCCCGCCGTGTCGCGTTTTCAGCCGCGTCAAGCAGGGACCCGCGTTCTGGCCCCGTCCAATGGTCGCGTGTCGCTCGCAAATCGTCCAATGGAACCTTCGATCAGAACAAGACCCTTGTTCACTTTGCTACCTCGAAATCCGCCAGACATGGCACTGATTGGCACGCCCGCTTGCATGAGGATGGCGACCTATGACCGAAACGAGGATTGAGGTGCGTGTTGGAATCATTCTATTCTTTTCCAAACACCCAAAACCTTGTTTGGCTCGTTCTCGCGCCTTGCCATTTCTTGCCCTACTGCGTGTGTACTGTATGGTACCGGAGATCAGCCCGGCGTCCCCCCAGACCTGCCATCCCTAACATATGGCCGCTCGTTGGCCGCAGGACGATCATCTGTGCCATTCTTGAAATGTCTCCTACTGCAACGCTGAACCCTTGCTTGGGACTGGAGGCTACGACTTCATCACTTCAATGTCTCCACAGCGGCACAAAGCGAAATGTCGCAGTTCATCAAAGCCTTCTCGAAACGGATCGTTGAGTCTGGTCAAGCCACCAATTTGGACGTTGCCGCTGCAGTTCACTCCCCAACTGCATCGTATGTTAGAACCTCTCATCGCTATAGGACCAACTTCTCCTATCAATGGAGCTTCTATGAGGCTAGGAGTCTTCAATTACAAAAAGTTAGCTAGTTCTACGCCTCAGACGAGGATGCTCACGTCATCTGCTTTGTCCTCGTCCCCGCGTCCCGAATAGGGGCAGGGCTGATTCAAAAAGACCATCACTACCCTGGGGGATCCTGGCATTGCCTCATCCTCGGGTTTCCAACGCAGCCAATGCCAATGGATAGAATCCCCTCAAGGCTTCTTAGCAGCGAAAATCACGCCGTTCGGCCTGCCTGGGCTTATCGCCACGAACCATGTCCTTTCACTCTACCAATGCATGTTTCACCACGACGAAAGATGCTGTTGATAAACGCACCTGCCGAACTGTTCCATTGATGCCCCCTCTTGCCCTCCATCCACTATAGGTCTAGTCCAATCGAACCTTGAGCCCGGCTCTTCGTCCCCGGTGCAGTTTGATCGGTGCATGTAACGCCATGAGTTATAACGAGATTTCGATACCACCTTCGCTATGAACGTCTTGAAGACCGAGTTATCAGGGGCTGTAGCCGCTGAGCTCTTGACTGGCCTTTAGGACAATTCTCTACGGATTGGCATGGTCCCTGGTAAAAACTCTTTTCTGTTATTGCTATGGGCCGCGGACTATTGGGCAGCTCTCTACCCGCGACGTTGTCGGACAGAGCTTCTCGAGGCGAGAATTGCAAGACGGGACCGTATGCATTGATCCGGGGCACCAAGCCATCGTAGTCCGCCTGCCGAACACGGCACTTTTTAACCATGTGAATGAAGGCCCGGACATGGCAGGGAGAACAAGCTCTTGCTCCCTGGCGGTCATGCAGAGACTGCCTAGCGAGGTTACCCTGCTAGATCAAACAGCCGAGCCTGGCCGCCGTTCGTATCTGATGTGATGCAGTCACTCTTGCAACGGTCCCGGCTGCCATCACCTCACACCTAGACCTTGTACAAATGCTCGCTCAGCAAGCCGACCTGCTTACCTACTGCACCTCTCTTCCTACTCCGGTATGGGTACCCGTTCAAGCTCGGATTCGAAACCTGCATTTTCAAATGTGAGGGGTAGCTGGCGGAATCCTTCAGTGCCGACCTCTAGTTCTGCTTGGTCTCCTCACCGGTCATGCGAGAGAACCACTCGAGGTATGGCTTGATGACATAGAGCCGAGACTCTTGACCAGAGCAACATAATGACTCGTAGCTCATTACAAACAGCTGACCTAGTCCTCGCATTATCGAGATCTCGAAAAAGCCCCAGTGCAAAAAAGTAAAGTAAACCCACCCAGGCGTGGGGTATGTACTGCGTCAGTATGTATGTAGGCAGGCACCGGCAAATACAGGCCTCTCCATTTCGTCAACACTCTGCATTTGACTCGGGAAAGCAAACGGCACCAGGCAGTCTGTTGCCGTTGTCCGCCCAGCTTGCCCGGCCCCACCTGTAGAAAGCCTCTCTGTTTCAACTCTCCACGTCCGGTTATTATCTCAAGGTCCAGCGTAGAAGAAACCAGCGCGAGTGAATGTCTGTGCGAGTTGGATTTCGCCGTCCAGTGTTTCCTCGGACGGTGCTACAGTGGTCCCATTTGTACAGTAGTAATATACCATATTAGCCATTTTAGGAAGATGGCTGGAACGGCAAAGGAAGATCTGCCCCTCCAGTCCTTCTAGCTTGCGGGCAGCCCGTTCCCCTGGGCTGTTTTGTTGGACGGCCGACTCTTCCTTCGGGCCTGTGTTGGCGCAGTGGGTAAATTGGAGCTTTCTCGGGTACAAGCTGGAGGGTCTACTAACCACGAAGACAATGAGAACCGCAACAATGAACTTGTTTTTCTTCTCTGGCCCCGTGCAATTGTCTAGTTCTTACTATGGTGTTGTGGTGCTGATGTGGCCGGGAGAGAGAGAGACTACGGGATAAAAGGACCCAGGACTAAGCTGCGTAGGGCATGGCACGGCGGCTGGTGGCTCCTCCCCAGGAGGCTCTGGGCTGTGCATCGCGCTAGAAAGAGGGGAAAGCTCTCTTCTCTCGCAAACCATTGACCATGGCGCCATTGCTCGACTATCGAAGATCTAATATGGGCCATTCAGCTGCCCCAGAACCAACTGCTCCGAGCCAACCTGCCTGCAAGAAATGCTGCCTGCAGCGCTGCTCCTCTGTACGATGGTGGAGTAAGACCCAGTGGGTATGACGATGAGAGGACACCCCAAAACAAGACAAGACAAGTACGCCGGAGTCAGAGGCTCTCTGCGTCTGGCTGAGGTGCTGCCGAGAAGCCCGGGGCCCGCATGCATCCACTGAGCTTCGAGGGCCAAAGACAGTCGACGAAAATGCTCAGAGACAAACAACGAGCAGGGACAGGCGCAGAAGAGCGGCGTCACGTTGTGAGAGCTGGGCACTACCTCCCCGGGCCTGCGGATAGTACGGCGAGCGGCCGCGGGAGCATACCTCGATACATTGTCAAGTTTTCGGAACCTGATAGTCTTGTCCACCGCTGGCGTGTCCCAGGTCTCAGCCGCTGGTTGTCTGGACATGGGCAACCGTCGGGGGCTGACCCCAGCGGCAAAGCCCCGTGACGTAGAAACATCAGGAGAAGGCGGCTCGCTACAATGGAAGAAGCACTGTGGTGGCGGGAGCGTGGCTCAACCGAGATATTAGAGGAGGGCTGAGGCGCCAACTATATGTTCGTAGAAATGACCGTAGCGAGCAAAGGATTCGAGCACGAAGGTGAAGTTTCACCGACTGCCCCTGGCGGGTATGACGAGCTGGATATGCCGTTGATACAACACCGCAGTGATTCGTAAAAAGGCATAGATTTCACAAGCTAACGATCAGATGCATTTTGGCATTGACAACCACACGCTGCACGGCATCGAGGGACGACACAGGCGTCCCGGGTACTGGCACAGGGCCACATATCAAGGCCTAGCCATCACTAGGGGCTTGTTGTTATATCTGTTTTGTATAGAGGCGTGGCACAACCGTGGTCGGGTTAGGTGTCGAGGTTGGTGACCTCTAACCCGGCCAGGTACGTATGCTGTAAGGCGAGGAAGATCGGAGCAAGGAGCTTTGCCCCTAATGCGAGATGGTGGACGGTGCCACCACCACCGAGCCAAGGTCAATCACAGAGACTAGCAAAAGGCCGGCTTTTAGTCTGCTCGGTCTAAAGATGAATGCCTGTCTGGTCATTCATCTGATGGCGGCCGAGTGACCGACTCCGTATTGGTATTTTGGAAGACAGAGGGCGGCTTTGCTTGGTAGACTGCTGAAGGATCAGGGGGATATTATGATGAGGGAAGTCAATATCGTAATATCTCCGCGTCCTGTCTTTGGTTGAAAGCGGTATTATACATGTGGTGGCTGTATTAAGGTCCCCTTGTAATGAAGGACAGGCAGGACAAGGGCACTCAGTCTCCTGAGGAGTCGTTTACGCTGTACACAGTGATTTCACCTTTTTGCCGTGGGTCTCCGTCGCCCAGGCGGAAGAAGAAAAGCAGTGGCTTTCTTTATGTGCACACTCACCTGCAAGAAGCTGCCGTCATAAGCGTGTGTTTGGCTGTCAGGAGTCAGGGCTGGCTGTCAGCCTGTCGCTCTGGCAGGAGACAGGTTTCACAGAAGCAGGCAAAGGCTGTTTGTGTCATGATGGGGGTACAATGATAAAGTACAGTATGTACACGCGGGAGTAACTAGGTAAGTAGAAGGGGGTGAAAATCAAGGCCAGCCCGCAGTAGTGGAGCCGTTACGACACCTTTACTGCATAGTAGATGCTCAATGGTGTCTGTAATAAGCGGCCACTTAGCCAAACGGAAGACAACACACAGTATTGACGGGAGCAATAAGGTGAGGGGGCAGCACGGCACGCGGAATCCTTTTTACGTATCGTATAGTATGCTCTTACTTTCCTCAGAAAAATGTGCTCCTTTGAAGAAAAAGGTATCTATCCAGTTCTATCGAGTCAGCATAATTTGTGTGTCTCTGCATGGGGGGGCTTATGCTCTATAATACCTAAACTATCTGAATCAGCATAAACCCTTTTTTGGTCCTTCGCTCGGGTATGTAGGCGGTAATTGGCATTTTCGAGATCCTTTGCCAATCTCCCCCCCCAGCAGCAGAGCAGAGGCTACGTGGGACCGTAGCAGGGCCATTCTGGCCATCTCCACGCAGGTAAGACGGGAGATGGCTGCATTGAGCCATCAGGGCTGGTCCCTGGACCTCCTGTTTCCGCCGGGTCTGCCTGCGCCCAAGATACAGGGCCAGGGGCCTTAATTACAGGTCGTGTCTGTCGTTTAGGCCTTGGTCATGGCAAATGATAGGTCTCAGCCGGATCGCGCTAAGTCAGATCGATGCGCCGTCGGCGTAGCAGGAGGCGTGACAGGGAACAGCATCTATGTGTATGCTAGGTGGGCAAATAAATAATCATAATAATAATAATAACAACAAAAAATACATGCACTCAATCAACCAAGCCACCGCGTACGGGAAAGCCCCAAACAACACGGGGGCCGCCGTAGGTCCGTCCGTACCCACACAGTCAGTACCCAATATGGCATATGAATGCGTGCTTCCAGAGGCAGTCCAGCTGAATGATCTCTACCCCCGTGCAGACATAATTCTCGGCATACCAGGGATCTAAGGCCTCAGAGAAGACTTCGAAATCGAATTTCCAGGTTATCACGTTAAGACTTTAGCACGACCATAGTTAGTAAGACGCTATGGAAATGAAGACAGAGAAGGAGGGAAAAAGAGAGAGAGAGAGAGAGAGAGAGACGTAGATAGATAGTCAAGTAGATTCGCAGGCCTGGTGAGGTTAACGGCCGAGAGGATTGTGGCGCTACACGTATACGTACCCTTTTGTTTGTGTGTGTGTGTGTGTCTTGTTGATGCAATCCATTGCAAATCCAAGTAAATCAACAAATGCGCCGTGCCTTGCTAACATTCAAGGCCTGGGGTGCTAAACCCAAGGCAAGGTAGCGTTCCGAGAGAGCACACACTGACTTGCTTGCTTGCTTTGACTTTCCTGCTTCCTTCGAACAGTAGGTACTGTAAGGTGCTGCACTGCTGCGAAGAGACGGTCTCCCGTGCTTTTACCAGCATTCCGTCAACAAGTCCAGGTTGATAAGGCACCTGTCCACAAAGTTATTCTTTTTCTGCTCTTGAACGAGACTCGGCCCTTACCTAGACCTGGGCTGGATCGACCCCAAACAAAACTCACTTCACCTTATTAGGCACTTGTCTGAATCCACCCTTCCAAAGGTGCACTTCGCTATACGCACCTCCCCTACTGTGACCAGGACAGGAGCACCTGGCTTAGCCCGGGCCTGGCTTTGGTAACGTTAGTGCACGTCCGAAGTTGGCTGCCATCTCTTTGCTCGACTCGACTCGACTCGACTTGACTCTACTTCGCTCCGCTCATCCAATTCTCACTTTCCACTCCACGACCGGTCGGGACTTCCTGCCAGGACAATTGATTTGATTTGATTTGATTCCATCTTCTGTTTGGCCTGTCTTTCCTGTATTATCTCTTCCAAGCCCAAGGTTTGCTTGGGTCGTGCCTTCTTTGCTTGAGTGCTGGGTGCAGGTCTCTTGTCTTCGATCCACCACCGAGCAGACACCCTCCCTCGTCGTCCTCCTACCGAGAGAACAACGCATTGAGGCACATACACTGTCCAATTCCAATGTCTGGGCAGCCAGTCATATCTCAGCCAGGGTAAATCAAGCTCCTTTTTCCCTATCTACAGCCTCTGCAATGCCTTTTTCCTGGTTCTAGACAGAGCTAGGTGCCCCCATTCGTAGTCTTGCTACTGGGTCCGTCATTCGACGCTTTGCTCACACAGCCAATCTGCAGACAGGTGGAAAATTAAACCGGCATCATTCGCATTCCTCAGCTCCTATTCACGTTCACGACTCGAGACCCGAACCGAACCACCCTCGACAATAATGTATTGACGATGCGAATCACGACCGTAACGAACCCCGAATTCCCTCCCTCGACACTCTCCCTCTCCGGCTGCTTGTCCTCCAAGTAATACAAGCAGCCAACATGCAGGCAGTCCCGAGTGTAAGTCAGCTCGCTCCCGAGTCCAAACCCAGAGACACCATGCCACAAGACGCGAAACAACTTCGACATTTCCCGTAACCGAAACATTCCTCCTCTTCTAGACACAAATGCTATGTATGATTTGCATTAGAGTCTTCTGCTAATCCATGTTCTTATTCAGCTTGTCGGGACTGGCACTGTCGTCGCCGCCGCCGCCGCGGGTCTGGTCTTTGGCCAACCCACCGAGCCAACATCTCCCCGGCCGACCTCGAACAAGAGAAAACTGCCATTTGATTCCGATGCGGCAGCCATACCTCCGTCGTCGTCACGTCCAGGAACGAGCGCCGCAGTAATTTCTCCGTTCGCGGAAGAGGCCATACCCCTTGCCTATCGACACTATCCTCCTCTATCAAACAATCCCTCTAATTTTACGCGTCAGGCACGGACAACAGGCTCACAGACAACTCCCCCAAAGTCAACGAGCAGGCGGCAGTCCTTTATAAGGCAAGGAGACTGGGCGCCACCTCCCATTGCGGAAGATGCGAGAGATTCATTTTCGTCCAATGGCTCGTGGATGAGACGACTGTCAATACGTCCTCTCTCACAGCACGGAAGCATTAGGTCAAGCATCGGCCCAGATTCGCCTTCTCTGACCTTCTCACACGGCTCTGGTGCCCCCATCCTCTCACCTACTGGTACATTACCGCCGCAGTTGCCCCCGAACAAGTTGGTCAAGCGAGGAACATCGGGCCAAGACCACAAATCTGGTTCATTGGCTCGACGAGGATCTCGCTCTCATATGCCTACCCTACGAAGACCTGCAACAAGTCACCAGCGCTCAGCAACGCTACAGCAATTCCAATACCCTGATGATCTTCCGGACGCTGCACCTTCTCTTCCGAAATACTCTCTTGATCAGCAAGCTCGACCCAGAGCGTCAACCGTTCAAGCAGATGTTACACCGGTACCACAAGACCCGCCAGTGTGGACATCTTTTTTTCATGCCCGTAGGCTGAAGCTCATTGGGCGAGGTGGTTCTGGTCGGTCTGTCGAGAGTAGTCCAGGCAATTACTCGTTGCCGAGCAAAAGAATCCACTTGCGGCCGGGAAGCGCGCCGAGGGCTTACCTAGTGACCGCTAGCATGCTCTCTACCAACTCGAGAGCGCCAGAGGTAGCCGTGACCACCCACGCGGACGAGCCCGGAGAACTCAACACCAGCCCCAAGGATTCAGACAAGACTACCGGGTCTCCAGACGACACGCCAACGAGACGCGCTAGGCGTTCGATCTCGATGCATTTCAGCGGACCGAGTAATTGGATCTCGAGAACATCTGGCAGCATTCGACGACCGAAGCGAAGTGCAGAGTCAAAGAGTGGCGGTAAACGAAACGTTTCCGCTCCACTACCGTCGACTTCACAGGATGTAGCTCAAGATAACGTAAAAATTGCCATGGAGGAAATTTTCACTCCGCCTGAGCCGGTTCAGGATACCAAACTTGAGGCTCCAGCGGGGTTCCCACTTCGTGCGAGAAAGCGAAACTCTTCATCCCCACTACCTCCACTCTCTCGACTTTCGAGCTTCAACGTTGATCTTTCTCGGCTTGGTAATACGTCAAATCCTGGCTCACCTGGCCTTCAGAGGCCAAACCAAGCTCAGATCAGCTCCATGGTTGCGTCACAGGTCTATTCGACTCTTCCCCATAGTAGAGGGGTTTCTAATGAACGAGCATCAACCTTGGCAGGTTCGGATATGGAAGTGCCTGGTCTCGCATCTGGTGATGACGATGACACAGACTTCAAGAGCGACACAATGTTTGATTCCCTCCGCACGGTGGGATCTCACAGAGTTAGAACTGTAGAGACACCCCTCGAGTCTATGTTTGACGAGTCCCCACCTAGCACAGCAGGCAATGGTAAGACCAAACGGCTGTCGATCCAGGAGATTCTGGGGCGTTCTTGGGATGGAGATACCAGAATAATGGAGGAAGACGAAGGAACCTCAACACCCCACAGAGGTACACATTCTTCTCATGAAGCAGCCCTGGGCGCAGAAGATGATATGGACATCGATGCAGACTTCCCCGAGATGGCCTTGCCGAGCCGAGACTTTGGACGATTATCCATAGAAACCGACGACGATGACTGGGCACGGGATGAAGAGGATGGTCTCAGCAACGGCTTGTCACCACCGTCAAGCTCAGTCAACTCTAGGAGGGGAGTGAGCCCGCAACTACGATCGGCTCTTGCCAATATTAGTGGGAATGGGAGTCCCGATTCGCAGAATCTCGACACGAGCAGCGAACGGCCTCGCAGCAACATATTTGACTGGGCTGAGTCAACTAATGATAAGTTCGACACTGATGGACATTCCCCTAGACCGAAGACGGTTCATGGCAAACAAGAGTTGGACTTGCGAGGCGGTCGTCCGCCGAATAGGAAGGGTCCTACTGGGGGTCATGTCCGAAGCCAGAGCGTACCGGTGGTGCCCGATGTTGAACCAACCAAAGCTACACCCAAATTTGGAACATGGGGCTTAGGGACAAAGACGGCGAGCGAAGATTGGGATGACGACTTTGACTTTGATGAGGGCAGTGCTAATGATGTTGGAGGAAAAGAGCCCCTCAAGTCATTGTCCATGATCGTCCCGCCCTCCATACAGGCCACTCAGCCAACTGTCAAGGCTCATTCCGGTCAGATTCGTGAATTGTCACTCCTGGTTAGCAGCCTAAAGCGATTATGTCGTCAGGGACGAGAACTAGATCTCATCGATGGTCAAGCAGCAGCCCTCTGGAAGGAAGCTGAGAACATTATCGCTCTCGCATCTCCGGACGAAGAGGAGGAGGATGAGGAGACGGATGGAGACCAATCCTCCCTCGACTTTGACCCTTCCACCATCGACGAGCGGTTCCTCGACGAAGGATTCGACGCATCGGCGTTAGAGCATTCGGATGATCCATTCAGTGCTCAGGAGCATAACATCCCGAAGACAGCTGTTGTGAAAGAGAGACAGGTCGTGAGGCGGCGTTCCGTGTTCTCGCCTGATGATGACATCTTCGGGGGTAATTGGCCTCTAGTGGACGAGAACACGAGGCCAGAGCCACCGAGAACTCCTGATCGGACCAGGAATTTTCACACTCCCGATGGCACCGTCGTGGCCGTGATTGAAGCCATGGAACAGCAGCGTGCATCATCAGACCATATCAGAGCCTCGCCTGTAAAACCGTCGAACGCGAAACTCTTCTTCGACACGAACAGCCTCCAGGAGCTTGTCAAGCGAGCCAGCTCGCTCTTCCATACCCTGTCCGATCTCGTCCGCAAGGAGGAGCTCCTGACGCAGAGCCCCGTGGTAACTCCTAAGCACGATCGATTGAGACGCCACGATGGCAGCCCGGCCTTTACTCGTGTCTTCACCGACCCATCCTCCAGCCCACCGAAACGGCTACCTAAGAGTCACAGCACGAATACGGTTATGCCCCGGACTTCGATGGACTCGCCCGCATCAAACGCCATGAATCAACGAATGCAAATGATGACAGTCAGCTAGGCGTCATCCAGATGATATGACATGCTCTACCTACTACATAGATTATACCGACCCGCGGCCCCATCATCATGGACGACGGCCCAGGCCCTGCATACCCCGAAATGAGTCCTTCAACACAACCACCAATGAATGACTACGACAGTGTATATGTACAAATATTTTCCGGACTTAATGGCCTTTTCCCACTATCGATTGTCCACTTGCATACAGAGAGGAGAGAATTACAAAAAGCCCTGGCGGTCTGGACTGTGTACTTATTTTTGCCGCTTGCTATTTTCTTCTGCTTTTTGCATGGCACAATGTGTCCAAGGAGGGGTTTGCAAAGGAAAGGGAAGAGGAAAAGAATTGGCTTTCTTTCTCCTCGAAACAAAACGGATCTTCCTATGTCTCTGTTGCGGTTCTTCCTTCATCCCTTGTTTCCTTTGCGTCTCTAGGGCGGTACACAAAATACAAAACAGGGGAAAGCCACATCAAATGATCATTGCGACGCGAAAACAGGAACGTATACATTCTTGTTTGTTTATTTGCCTTCTCTCTCGACGGCAATGAATGGAGGATGTGAGAGACGGGCGGATGAGGATTGAAAAGGGGACGGGCTCAGAGAGAGAAGAGGCCCGTTTGCCCTAATTTCCTTTTCCCTTTTCTCTTGTGGTTTGATCTGCAAATGCATGGAGAGGGAGGTTTGGCTTTTGTAGTAAGGCTTCTTTTTATCTCTCCGTCTTAGTTTACCTACTGGTCTTCCCTCTAATCTCACGTATCGAGAGGGGGAAGCATGAGAGACTCGACTTTTATGTCATGAATGCATGTATAGAGTTGATGACTACACCTGGCTGTGCCTCCTCTTTGCTTTTGATGTGCTTTATGAAGTGATGTGACATGGTAGACATGATACTATCCAGTACAGTGTGTGCCGCATCTCGTCGAGGGCGAGGCTCTCTGAGAGGAGACTTGAAGGTCTCGGGGGAGGCTAAAATTGCAGTGAATGTAGGTGAACACGATGACTGAGGCTGGCGGCGAAGATGGTTGCTAGGCCAGCGCAAGACACACCACGTTTCGTGCTTTGATACGACGGCATGCTTCTGGAGGATGTACACCTCCGCTGGGATAATAAACGTTATACTAATTAGTATGGAGCAGATGTATGCTGTCGTGCCTGCGCAACTATGTTAGTTAGTGGCTGTAACCTTTCCACGTCTTGCTCTTGTATCTAGTTCAGTCATTGGATGCCATGCGCCCCGTGCCTTTTCTCATTCCTACTAATTCACAGGGTGTCAAGTTTAAAGAGAGGAGGCCCCACTTCTCGTCCTATTTGAGATCAATGTCGAGATTCAGGCCTGGAATTAGAAGCTATCGTGATGTACAAGGATAACATCCGCCTACTCTGTTCCAATATCCAGTTGATACTTCAGCCACCAAGAAATCATGTTTCTATATGGTGATACATGTTTGACATACCCTAATTTTCAACTTGTTCAATTGTAAGAAATGATAGTTACATGATCAAGGTGCTTGCACATTGGGAATCCCCCCTGCCTGACCCCTTTTCCGTGATATTTGGTCAAGTGTGCCGTCATCACCTCTTTGTGGCTTCTCACGGGCACGAGCGCAGATGTGTTGTCAATATGTTTGCCCAAACGTGATACGTTGCTCGACACCCTTCAACCCGAAGTTTCGCATACAGTATTGACGTGAACACTTCGTTTCCCTTTCCTCACCGACGTGCTCCTACCATATATGTTGTTTGCATCTCCGACTCCCCAGGGAAAGGACTAATAGTTTTAAAGCTAAGTGACTCAAAATTCTTCCAATTTTATTATTATTAGTTATTGCAGGGCTCATGATATTGTAAAATGCCATCAGATGTCTGCATCGTTGTTTTCCACGCAAACAGCGGTGTTCCATGACTGCTCCCCCTCCCTTTTACATACTCAGAAGTTGAGATAGGCGATTCATGGAACAAGAATGACCAACTTCTAAACAGGGATGGATATCCTTCCGTGTTTGTACGTGAAGAAACTGATCCCTTCGAGATAGGGCCGGAACCGAGTGTCTGGTTATAACCCCACCTCCTGACACTTTCAGGCAGATATTGCTCTAGCTAATGGTTCGCGATTCAATTCAAGTAAAGGATCAGGGATCTTCTGCTACCCTATATTCGTAGAGTACCGGGAGTCTTTCCTGCTCGGAGAACCATGCCTGGGGCTGTCCAGGCTATCAGCCAAGTCAGTACGGAGACGTCTTACTTGAATCGAGGGCGGAGCATAGTGTGGCCCATCTAGGCGAGCTCTGCCAGTGGCGTGGCATGTGTCCGGGCTTTCACTGCAATTTTAGCCTCCCCCGAGACCTTCAAGTCCCCTCTCAGAGAGCCTCGCCCCTCGACGAGATAGATGTGCCCTTCTCTTGATAGATATCATGTCCACCACCACAAGAAAACGCACCACCCCAGCGGTACTGCTGCAAGTTGAACACCGCAACAAGTCTTTCTTTTTGTAGAGTTGAATACTTGTTTCTTTAGCAAGTGAGAGGATTCGACCTGACACAACTAGAAGATAGCCCAAGACTCGACGTGTTCTGACAAAGGAGGTACAATCCTATACACAGAAGAGCAATATATTTAGAGAATGCTACCTCAGAGCGTGTCGTGGCAGGGAATTTCCATCTCTGCAACTTCTCAGGCGTTTCACTGCAATTTTAGCCTCACTGAAGACCACCTACACCTCCGCCAGGGTAATAATTGTTAATTCTGAGT